CCTTTTTTCAACCCCATTTAGGTTAAATTTAGTTACAATGTGGAATTTTTCAAAGGGTTTGAACTATTCATAATGATGTCTTACTACACTGGATCGACACAGAAGGGCTATCTTTGATTCAGTTTAGTTGTGAGTAGTTTATTAGCAACTTAATTAAGTACTTCTGGATCCATTGCTCGGTACAGCTATTTTCCCGATTATATTAGGAGCATGAACGCCTCGTCAGAGTAGTTAAAAGCATAGTTATTTGCATTCGTCTGCGAACTGCCAATGGGACAGTAGGGTTCTAAGGTACACAGTCGCATTAAAAACACTCGTCTTCATAGCGATGATATAATTCCACAATTTTTATCGGTTGTCTTCTTCGTTAGAAACTAATGCCTACACTGACAGGAGTTCAAAGTGCTGTCTGTTATCATTCCATTTCTTTGTTTACAGAGTTGCCCATCTTAATAGATTTGGATATGTTTTCTGCATTCAAGTAAAAAGCAATTTAATTTACCTTTTATAAGGCCAATAACAGAAATAAACCTCAATTTGGTAAACATTGAATTTGTTGAACTATTCGCCTAATGGCGTATTAGGGAACAGGGAGTGTGCTTAACTAAGACAAATATTAGTTTGTCCTTTACCTTTCATTAAATAAGTTTGTGGTGAGGGCAAAATTATCTTTTTTATGCGCTTTTTAGTATTTGTTGGCCACAACGCAAACATTTAACACAGAAAATACTTAAAATACTCGTCGTTTTCAAGAAAGACAACTTCCATCAGTAGAAAATAGTTTAGATCCAGTGTCGAAATTAAGCAATAGTTAATTTTCCTACTTTTATGTACTATTTAATCTGTTATATTCATTTGGATCTCTGAGGAATTAATGCTATAATAATATTTGGTCTTAGGGACTCCCTATTTTCTCAAGCAACTGCGTTACTTTTGCAAGATAGAGTGGCGTTGTTTCGGGCTAGCGTAGTCTATTTCTTTTCAAGCTCTTAGAGGAAAATAGTTGAAATGAGGACGTTTTTAATAGCCTCTCCTTTTTCTTCCAGATTGAGAGATTCCAACGTGAGCTCAAAGAATGCGAAACACAACGATCTGAGCAACATACAAGAATCACCTCGTTAGAACAGCGCTATTTGGCTATACAACGTGAGAATACGACATTACATGACCAGGGTGATAAGCTTCGAACTGATCTTGCTATCAAAATGACGCAATTAAAGCAGGTGGGGCCCGTAATGTTGCATGCTTCTCATATTTGACAAGGTCCACATTCCAAATTGTCGAATAGGATGTCAAGTTTTCCTATTTATCTCGAAATTTAACCAACACAACTGATTATCAAAAGTGATTTTTGCTTTCTTTTAGAACGATGAAAAGCTCCGAAGCCTCCAGGAACGACTAGACATTACTGAGCAACACCTCATACAGGCTCAAAAGGCTACAACAACAGCGTATGGCCGAGCAACTGTGGGCCAGCTTCTTTTCAATCAGGCTTTCGAAGATGGAGAAGAGCACAGCCTTTCCGCCGACGAATGTAGGCAAGGTGTAAAAGACGTACACTCTAATGAGGCTAGAAGTTTTGCGAAAGGAAAGCTTCCAGAATCCGATGTTTTCCCGACTCTGGAAGTGTTGACTGATCGGCAGAATTTCGAAAGTCAGTCGGCCGAAGGTACCAAAACGGAAGATGTTCGTACGCAGACTTTGTGCCGAGCGCTGGCTAAAAATGGCCATTTGAGAACACTACTTTACCCGCAGGACGCAGGTGTACCGTCTGAAAGATCAGAGAAGGCCTCATCCAGCCCACAGCTCAACAACCTGGATGATGACTCATCTGTATGCCTTTCGGAGAACCAGACAAACCGTGAGGTGGCAGGACAGAGTCGAACAGAGCGCAAGCGGTCTCAGAGCGGAGATGCGATGAGCTATCGAAGCCCAGTCAGCCCTTCAGAAGAGATCGAGCCTGAGCGGCGGGAGGAAAATGAAGATGAGGATGGTGAAGTAAGCGTCGGTTCAGAGGCAGCAATTGAGAGTGAGGCTTCCGGTGCTACGGGTGAGCCCAGGAAGCAAAGACGTAGAGTATCCAGAAGAACGACACATGTTGGAGGCTCACACCTGCTTTTGGGCGAGACGCCAAACAGGAGGTCTTGGGGAGACTATCCGGGCAACGATTACAATGGCGGAGGTCCCCGAATTGTGGGTCCGACAAGGACCAGTTCGTCGAGAGGGCAGCAACAGCGATTCACTCTGCATTCTCTGATAAGCCAGTTGACGACGTCTGAGGATAGGGTGCGGGAATTGCAGGATCAGGTGAACGAAGTGCAGTCAGAGCTGGTGCGCTCACAGCAAAGAGAGAGTCTGAACGAAAAACATAATGTTCGACTTACGGCCACGGTAAGTAAGATGGAATGCAAGCTAAAAGTAAAGAAATTTCTACCGCAGTGCATGGTGAATTTCATCCATTATTGCTATTTATAAAAATAAACGTAAAAAATTTCTCGTTTGCGAGAGATTTTAAAATGAATTTTAGATAATATGATTAAAGTTCCAGCTCATAAATTGAGGAATGCTCTCCTTACATCTCAGATCCTCCCAGAGAATGGGTTACATACTTTCAGCATGGGACACTATTCCAAATGGCTATAGAATATACAAGAAATGCTTTTGTTCGTCGATTATTCCTGCATTGCCAATGATTCCTCAAAAAATCCAATTAATCGTGAATTAAAATTTAAGTTATTACTATGAAGATTACTCACCCTCTTTTGTTTAAGTTGATACGAGGAGAGGTAGTTGAATTTTCCCATAACGATATGAGTAGTAGACCTTACCAAAAGCTATTCCCACCCAGAGTGGAGTATATATTTTCAACCTCTCTCAGGCCTCATCATCACCCATAATGTGACTGTAACCATGACTGAGCAGCGTGTCATAGTTTAGCCGGAACTGCAATCCATCCTGTATTATAATGACTTTTGGGAAAGCAAGGCTAAGTGCAATTCAACTCAAGCGTAAGGTCTATTGCTCATATTATTATGGAAATATTCAACTAACAGTCAGCTTATCACCTTGAACGAATTATGGTATGTAAATCTCATAAATATAATCTACTAGTACTCTCGAAAACCTACTCATAAACGAAAAACAAGTTATTACTGTCTTTTGCAAAAGATTGAGTAATCCATGACTTTGGGAAAACAAATGGCAGTTCATTTATTTGATATAGTCAATGGTTTCTAAATAGATAGTTACTGTAGTTTTAAAAAGTCTTAGTCCATCGCAAAGAGGCTAATATAAATTATTATTTAGTAGATAATCTTTGAGTGGGATTATCTAATCTTTCACCAATATGTAAGTTTTAAAAAGGTTTTGTATTAACTGGCAACCAAAATGTCTCGATATTTGGTATGAATACATTTGTCATATTCATTGTATACAACCTTTTGCCGAAAATGAAAATCCAAATCATTATAGCCCTCTTTTAGAGCATTACAGAGAATGTTTTCTCATCTTATAATATTTTACATATTTTCCCTGTTCAAATGTTTAATGCAAGCCATGCAAGCCAGCACTCCTTGCTCTTCCTTCATCTTCGAAAAGGCCTTGCACAGCTTCGATAAAGGTTTTAGATCATTTTTCTGCTGGAAAATAACTCC